AATGGTGTGCTATAGATATATGAGAAAAGGAATTGGACAAGAAAATAACGCTTGAATTTATTGAAATATGATTTGGAAACAGACAAATTATTTATTATATTTTTAAATAAAATGGATGCAGACTGAAAATAGGTCAGTTGTTTGAAGATGACATGTTGTGAAACTCCGAGAAACAATGTATATCAGGTTGTGTTTTAATATTTCTAGAATGGACTATGTTTTTAATCAGGTGTTTGTGTGAAAAAGGTGTTAAACTCTTGGTTTGTTTCATTCTAGATATGAAGGAGAAGGTATTCCAGTGAGAGAAGCCGAGGAACCTGTCCAGATTCTCGAAGACAATGGAATAATTCATCATGATCCTGCAACTGGTTCCACTTCATTATCTACTTATTTAGATACCAAACCTAATCCTGTTGGTACGTTATCTTAGATTTCAAACATCTGATATCATCCATCCTAGCCTAACATTTATCGAAAAAAGTTCATTGGCTCAAGTAAACCTACAATTATCCTCATTGAATCAGTGTATAGAAATGAAATGAAATGAAATGAAATTGAAAATGGATATGATATGATATGATATGATATGATATGATATGATATGATATGATATGATAGTACTCAATATCTGTCTGTTCAGATTCAATTTTTAAACGTAAAACACGTGTATACACCTGACACATTATTGAGCATTGTCACCTTCTTTAAAATTTTGAAAATTCTGATTTGAAAAGATAAGTTATGCTACAGAAATTAAATCCATTTTAATTCATCAGAATATTCTGTAGTTAAACATGAATAAATTATTAATAAACTTTGATTGAATATTTCAGAAGAAGATATAGATGTATTACAGTCTGTTCATACAAACATGAGACGAAGATCTGATATAACTGGACAGGGCCAAGCGTGCTCCTCTAATTATCGTTATAGACAGAATACCTGGTCATCATCTGATATCACACCACTCTATCATCATGATAATAACACAGGTTGGTTCTCACCTCTCTTAATGATAATATTATTTCAACTGGATATAAAAAAATCACGAGAAAGTCAATAAAGGTGATTGTATAACAATGCTCCAGTGATGAGATCAGTAGAGTTTTATCTTTTTAATAATAAGCCAGTTTCAGTAATAAAAATATATACCAGCAAGACAATTCCATTAATCAAAATCAAGAGTAAAAGTTGTATAGTAGTGGATTCCTCCAATGAGATGTATCATCAGGTGTTTCGAAAAGAGTAAGCATGGTCTGTTTCTCTTGACGACTCGAAGGTGTCTGGGTACATGCTCTTACTGGAAAATTGAGACTTAAAAATACTTTTAGGGCAGGCAATATTTGGAGGTTAATTATAAAGTTATATATAGAAGAAGTCTCTTTAAATTTCAACCTAAAAACTCCCACCATCAATTCATCAAAATATTATGAGATAAAAAAAACATTTTCCGTTCTGTAATCCTGAAATCTTTTATGAAATTTATTGACTTGTTCCATGTACCGTGTTTACATTTAATATTTTCTATTGATTGGCCTCCGACATGATAACTGACTTGTACAAGGCCCTGTGTGTTACTGTGTGTTACTGGCTGTTACTGGCTGTGCATGTTACAGACTCTTCGACAGAGTAGGCTATTGTTGCTATGTAGTTGTGTGTAGCTGGCTAAACCTGGTTGTGCCTGTAGTGAGATCCTGCGACAGTTGGAAATAGAAAAGGCTATTGTGTTGTAGGAAAACTTTCCTCATTCCACACTGCTAAGTGTCTAAATTAGTCAGATGAGAAGCAGGGGACAGTTTTCAAATTCACACCCATGGGATCATTTTAGTGTTCCAGTCATCTGATTGGTCAAACTCTAAAATTGATTTGAATTTGGCTTTATTATCCAATCAGATTACGGTATTTCTTAAATCTTGGTTTAAAATTAAGTTAATGTGAAACGGATTCCAGAACAGGAGGATGTAAAACTCCACGTAATTTCATGTTTTGTGTCTTGTAGAATATAATCTGGCAACAGATGATAATAATATGGAACAAGCTATCGACAGATTATTTAAGGAGCGACAGGAACATCAGAAATTACTAGAGAATGTTGTCAGCCCGCAGAGTTTTTCAGGATTACTCAAACCTGGTGGAGTCAATGGAGACCATCTGCTACCATATTCAAGGGAGACAACTACTATAGGAGAACAGTGGGGAATATTGGGTAAGTTTCATCGAGTTGTATTCTCATCTACTTGGTGTTGAGGTGCTTTTAGGTTTGAATCTTCTTCAAGGAGATCCAGCTCACTGGCTGGAAAGTCGAGATAGGATCAAGCTTGAAGCAAGAGAAATTCTACTGTTTATTCTCAAGACTTCAATTATTGATTTATAAATGGTTTACCTACAAATTTCAAACTTGGCTTAAAAGTTGTATTTTTTACAAATAAATTCTTCTAATTTCTATTAAAAATTATGATAAAAAAGATGAGTAATTTATGTATTATTTACTGTTTTCTGGTCTCTCTCTGATTATACAATTGTTTTAGGAGAAAATAGTATTATTACAGAAAAGAGAATTTTGAGTAGATATCTTTGTATAATAAATAGAATAATCAGTAAAAACTTGATAGCGTTGTTATGATTAGCATTTAAAGCTGTAACGAAATTAGAAAGAGAATCTTACTACCAGCTGTATAAATATTCATTGTTTGTTTTTATTGTAATATTATAGGATAGATATAGCTTTAAATGGATTTCCAATGAATCTCAAATACCATTTTATGTGAAATTTTAGCCAAGAAGCAAACCACTGTTTCTCTAGGAGATAATCACAGTGTTTGACTTGTTTTTAGATTAATCACTAAAATTGTTTTTTAAGATTTATTTTCATTAACCAGTTTATTTTAGCAAGACTTAAGATCATTTATAGCACCACTATGATAAGTAAAGTGGGGAGGTTCTCTTAGGACAGGTCATTCTTACTCTTCTGTAAAACACGGTGCCCCTGGGTCTGATAACATAGCATTCATTCTAGAGAGTCCACAATACTAATAATATATATTTGGTATATTAAAAATTATTCATGATGAACTGTTATAGCAGCTTGAATCAAGCTTAAAGTAAGCTTCCCACAAGGAAGCTCTTTATCCATATCTGGTAGGCATAATTAGTTGGTTATCCTCTTAAAGATTAATTAATCACCTGTCTTAATTAATAACGGAACTCGTTAAAGGTAGTTAACTTCCTGGAATGGTAGTCTATCATCTGTGATGGCTGGTAAATCAATAGTTTTATAATAGTCTACCAACCAGTGGTGTTTATAAAAGGTGGGAGGGGGACAGTAAAGCTGGCTGGGAGGGGGACAGTAAAGCTGGCTGGGAGGGGGACAATAAAGCTAGGTGGGAGGGGGACAGTAAAGCTGGGTGGGAGGGGGACAGTAAAGCTGGGTGGGAGGGGGACAGTAAAGCTGGCTGGGAGGGGGACAGTAAAGCTGGGTGGGAGGGGGACAGTAAAGCTGGCTGGGAGGGGGACAGTAAAGCTGGCTGGGAGGGGGACAATAAAGCTAGGTGGGAGGGGGACAGTAAAGCTGGGTGGGAGGGGGACAGTAAAGCTGGCTGGGAGGGGGACAATAAAGCTGGCTGGGAGGGGGACAGTAAAGCTGGGTGGGAGGGGGACAATAAAGCTGGGTGGGAGGGGCTACAGTAAAGCTGGCAGAGTTCAATCCCAACAAAAACCTTGGATTTTTCTATCTGATCTGTTGTACTGTCTCTTGACTTATACAGCGCCAATTTACAACCAGATTAACTGGAATATTTTGAAAAGGTGTCTTATTAAAGGTCACCAGACTTAAACACGCTGATCTAAATTAGAACTGGTGTTAAACTACAGTATAATCAACATTCTATTCCACGTCTGAATTAGGGCGTTTCTGTATAAAACTTGTATAATAAAAACTGTTCAGTAGGCGAAGTTCGATGAATTACATCAGTGACATATTGATTTTACTAATTATGGTAATTTCTAAACCATTAGAATAAATATTATATAATATACATTAACTACCATAATAAGAGAGACTTGTGTCAGGCTGAATTACATCATTCTCAAATCAGGGATACTGTTTCAACTGTTAGCCAATCATGTATGACTTGAAGACACTTTCAATGACAATATTCTCCGTAATCTCAGACTGAATTACATCATTCTCAAATCAGGGATACTGTTTCAACTGTTAGCCAATCATGTATGACTTGAAGACACTTTCAAGGTAACAGAAGAGTCTTATAAAACCAATGAGTTCACGGGCATGATTAACTTCATTTGAAAATAGAACTTTTAATTAAACATTTAGACTAATCTCAGCCGCGTGGATAAAAAATTGATTCGTAGTGAGATTTAGAATTGCATGTCACACACCATTTTACCATCATTAATTATATATTATCTGTTATTATTCCTTAATTTGATCGGGGCTAAATCGTTTTCTTGCCCTTCGCTGACTTTCAGCTAGAATTATATTTGAATATTATCAAGGTTTAATAGAAATTCAGATTGTGGAGGAATAAACGGTCAAGGTCATGGAATTGTGATTTAATTCTTTATTAACGTAATTATGAACCACTTTTGTTTTTCTCTTCCTGAATTTCAACTGGAATTAATTTTTGATATTTTTGAGTTATGGTGTTGAATTTTTCAAGGTTTAGTAGAAAATTAGTTTTCCCTCCTTTTTAGGGACAAATTTTCATGGTTTTATCATTTATTAATTATTTATTAACTTAACTATTAATCATTTCTTTTCCTTCCCTGATTTTGAATTATTTTTGATGTTTTGATGTTGATGATTTAAAACAGGAAATTAATTTTCTCATGTTTTAGGGAAATCTCTTTCAAGGTTATTGAACTTGTCAGTTGAAACCATATCGTTTTATCTTTAACTATTTTCTCATTCCTGACTTCCATTTTGAATTAATGTTAAAATTTAATCTCGATAAAAAGTAAATTAGGTTTCCTTTCTCTCACATTGGGGACTCAGTCAAGGTTGTTGAAGTCATTGAACTCACCATGTATTTTTCGTCTCTGTCAATTATTTCTTATTGGATTGTAAAGAGGTTTTTAAAATCTTATATTTTTATCCGGGACAATGTTAGCATCAATTTGTAATATTCCAATTTTTAATCAGACGTTTGTGGTTCCTGCAATTCCTCTAATATTAAACCTTTGCGATCATGATGTCCTAAATGGTTAAGCATTTCTATAATTATAGGAACCACAGACATCTGATAAAAAATTGGAATGATGTAAATAGAAGCTTAAATGGCCCTGTAACACAAAAAATTTACAAAACTCTTTACAATTCATTTAGAATTATTCATGACTGACCAAATCAACACCAATATCAGCATCCCTGATCTTATATAACTAGGAGTTTGGTATTTTCTGGTTACAGTCAGACATCATGACTAACCAAATCAACACCAATATCAGCATCCCTGATATTATATAACTAGGAGTTTGGTATTTTCTGGTTACAGTCAGACATCATGACTAACCAAATCAACACCAATATCAGCATCCCTGATCTTATATAACTAGGAGTTTGGTATTTTCTGGTTACAGTCAGACATCATGACTAACCAAATCAACACCAATATCAGCATCCCTGATCTTATATAACTAGGAGTTTGGTATTTTCTGGTTACAGTCAGACATCATGACTGACCAAATCAACACCAATATCAGCATCCCTGATCTTATATAACTAGGAGTTTGGTATTTTCTGGTTACAGTCAGACATTATGACTGACCAAATCAACACCGATATCAGCATCCCTGATCTTATATAACTAGGAGTTTGGTATTTTCTGGTTACAGTCAGACATCATGACTGTCAAATCAACACCAATATCAGCATCCCTGATCTTATATAACTAGGAGTTTGGTATTTTCTGGTTACAGTCAGACATCATGACTGTCAAATCAACACCAATATCAGCATCCCTGATCTTAATCAACTTTGAATTAAAAATCTGAATAAAATACTAAAGAAAAATACTAAGTGTTGTAATGTAATGTTAATATAACCTATTAAGTTGCCATTTTCTGGGTTCAGTCAGACATGACTGGCAAAATAAAGGAACAAATCAACATCCCTGATGTTATTTAACTATGAATTAAAATCTGAGTAAAATAATAAAAGAAAAGTTAATGTTGTAATATAAAACAAAAGATAGCTATATATAGACTGAAGGTTATGATTCATTGGTTAGAATAAACTAGATCTATTCCATGCTGCCACCACCACGCTAGCTAGCTAGATAGATAGATAGATAGATAGCTACTCTACTGGCTTTTTCTTTTAACATCTTTCATTCATTCTATTTCTCATACAAAAACTTTTACTAGTCTTATCAACATCTGTTTCTATAACGACAGGCGTTTTATAACTGGCATATTCTAACTTCTGGATCAATATAGTTTTTAAAGCCTCCTTCGAAAACATGGATTTGACTACAATATTTATTTCGTTCCTCCCATGTAACATTAGTTTTTCTTCATGGTGCGTGAAAATGTGAATATTTGCAGGAAGGATTATTTTTGTATTAAACTAGGGATAAAGTAGGGAAGAAATCGAACAAGATTTCAGCAGATAAAACCAGGATTTATTTACTAGCGTGATATTCAGTGATTTAAAATTCTCGTTACAGAGGGAAGTTTAAACAGTTTACGAGGAATTAGTAACGAACTTCTGAAACATCGAGAAATTAAAACTTTGGAATCTACTCTCGGACAGGTAAGCTTTATTTTTAATCATTTATTTATTCAGATATTTATTTCCTTCAGTTTTTCACATTAATTTATATAATACTACTTTTTAACATGTTACATTTTCATCTAAATTATAAAGTTTTCATTCATTCATTCATTCATTCATTCATTCATTCATTCATTCATTCATTCATTCATTCATTCATTCATTCATTCATAAACACAAATTTATGGTTTACTACTTTGGTTTTTTTTTTTTTACATTTCAACAATTAACATATATTTGTCTAACAAAGAAAGAAGTGGGGATGTCCAAGTTTAGATTTGTCATTGATCCCATTGGAAAGTTTGAAATCTGATAATCCAATGGAGTTAAATGGAGGGCCTATTGGATGTAGACTGTGTTAGGTCCGTGTTGGTGCCGAGTCGGTTGATTATTAAGTAGTCAAGATTTCGACTGGTGTGTCTCGGTAAATGGAAGTGAGACGCGACTAGTTTGTCCCTCTTGGGATAGATAGGTTCACTACTTTAGCATTAGCCAAACTTGGTTGGTGGAAGAATAGACTCTTTGTCTTTGGATTTTCTTCAATCACAGCAGTTATAAATTCTGAGTTTTGTCATCAAATATCAAATTCTTTCTTCGACTGTTAATTTTTGTGGCAAGCTAACCTGAAAGTAAAGTGATCCCAGCATTGGTCAAGGTTATACTGAGGTTGTCCTGGAAAAATTTCCCTCATTACACACTGCGTGACAATTGCCTTCTTGATTAGTCCTAATTAGCCAGAGAAAAACAGGACGTCTTTAAAGAACATAATGTTTAGTCGTTAACGGAATGAGAAAGTTGTGTTATGTAATTATTTTGGTCGTTAACCTTTTCATTTTGAAAAAAAAAACCGTCAGTTGTCAGAACTTCTTACTGTATAACTTGTCATGATCATCGAAGCTGTAAAAATGGTTAATTATTTCCCTTAACGAGGTCAAGTACCTGTTAGATTTTAACGAGTTTCTGGTTTTGTGGAATCCAATAAATTATTTTCTTACTCAGTCTCTAATTGATAGAGAAAGACAAGTAAAGATAAGGTCTCTAATTGTTAGAGAAAGACAAGTAAAGATAAGGTCTCTGATTGTTAGAGAAAGACAAGTAAAGATAAGGTCTCTAAGTGTTAGAGAAAGACAGGTAAAGATAAGGTCTCTAATTGTTAGAGAAAGACAAGTAAAGATAAGGTCTCTAATTGTTAGAGAAAGACAGGTAAAGATAAGGTCTCTAATTGTTAGAGAAAGACAGGTAAAGATAAGGTCTCTAATTGTTAGAGAAAGACAAGTAAAGATAAGGTCTCTAATTGTTAGAGAAAGACAGGTAAAGATAAGGTCTCTAATTGTTAGAGAAAGACAGGTAAAGATAAGGTCTCTAATTGTTAGAGAAAGACAGGTAAAGATAAGGTCTCTAATTGTTAGAGAAAGACAGGTAAAGATAAGGTCTCTAATTGTTAGAGAAAGACAGGTAAAGATAAGGTCTCTAATTGTTAGAGAAAGACAGGTAAAGATAAGGTCTCTAATTGTTAGAGAAAGACAGGTAAAGATAAGGTCTCTAATTGTTAGAGAAAGACAGGTAAAGATAAGGTCTCTAATTGTTAGAGAAAGACAAGTAAAGATAAGGTCTCTAATTGTTAGAGAAAGACAGGTAAAGATAAGGTCTCTAATTGTTAGAGAAAGACAAGTAAAGATAAGGTCTCTAATTGTTAGAGAAAGACAAGTAAAGATAAGGTCTCTAATTGTTAGAGAAAGACAGGTAAAGATAAGGTCTCTGATTGTTAGAGAAAGACAAGTAAAGATAAGGTCTCTAATTGTTAGAGAAAGACAGGTAAAGATAAGGTCTCTGATTGTTAGAGAAAGACAAGTAAAGATAAGGTCTCTAATTGTTAGAGAAAGACAGGTAAAGATAAGGTCTCTAATTGTTAGAGAAAGACAAGTAAAGATAAGGTCTCCTAATTCTGTAAAATCTGAGCTGAATAAAAAGACAGATTGTAGCTCAGCCCATTAGATAGTTGGAATCATTATATGACATCATTGGTTTGGTTGCGTTGAACAAATAGTGGTCATTTGTTCTAGTCTCGGTCAGTGTGTCAAGGTATTGTGACCTTGTCATCTCCACTCATAGTTCCAGTCAACTCGGATGGAAATGGGTAAGAATTCAATAGTTTTGATACCTGACACCTGATGAAACTTCTCTTTTGAGGTTTCCACTACTATACTACTTTTACTCCCGATTTTGCCAGTCTTAGGATGAGATTTCTATTAAAGAAGTTGTCTTGTTTGTCTATATTTTTAATGATAGATATAGGAATAATAGTGTTAATAAGTATATCTTAAATTCATTACTTGTGATTTGAATAAAACAAAATCAACAGCCTTAGTCAAGTCTC